AAAAATCTTGCATTTAGAGAGGTATTGCATTTAGGGAGGCAAAAATCTATAAGTGTTATATGAGTTGGGACCATGCACGGCCATGCATTTAGAGAGACTATGCAATTAGAGAATATGCATTTAGGGAGGTCTGACTGTATATAACGAGCTTTTAAAAATTTTTCTCTATACGGAGTTGGCAGCAATATTAAATATGTGGAATAGAAATAATAATACCTACACTTATTAGATAAGAAATGCTGAGAAACTGAAGAGGGTTATCACTTGTAGGAAATTTGTTGTCCGAATCTTGTAATGTACCGTAGACATTTAATGGTACTAGAATGCATATACCCATAAAGAATAGCCATAAAAATAGGTTTCTACATAAACTTATAAACCTTAAATACATTACGGCATCTAAACCGATTTTTTCTATCAACTGTGATTCTGGTACAGTAATTACTGGTTTAATCCAAGAGAAGAGCCCTGTTTCGAGCTTTGGTGGCTGTTTTCTGATTTTGTGAATTAAAAAGGGAAATTGTTAAAATAATGTTTAATATTAAATAAAGGATTAATAATGGACTTACTTCTCTGGAGAATATCTTTGTTTTGGTGCGTATACAACTGAATTTTATGAAATTTATCGTCACAGTTATTGATGCTGATATAATCCTTACTAATAAATTGTTTGATAATGTACAAACAATACTCACTCCCATTCCTAGGTCTAAGAATTCCAAAAACTATTAGAGTTCCAAGACCTAAGGCAGTATTGATCGCTAATTGGGAATACATTCCCGTAATTGTAATCGTGGAAGACTGTTCTTCTTGCCCGACATAACTCATTATTTTGTTTTAAAAAAAAAAGAAAAAAGTAATTCTATACTTTTTTGATAATATAATAATAAAGTAATCGAATTAAAAATTCTAAGCTTTTTCTTTTTTCTTTTTTTAATTAAGATATTATATTGTATGCATTGATCTTGAAAACGCGTATTTTTCTTTAGTTATGCGTATATATGAAAAGGAATGTAATAAACCCGATAAAGCGAAAAATCATTGGCAATGAATCATCTAGTCAAGCAGAAAATTAATATATATTAGATAAAAACAATAGGCGTAAAGAAAAGAAATGATATAGGGTCTAAAGAAAGAGGGTCAAATAGAAAATTTAATGTTAGACCTACGTGTTGTGTATGATGAATCGCATATTTGTATCACGTTGTTATCGTACATGAAAGTCTAACCAATTTATACGTCTTATTACAGTATTAGCTATGTACCTATTCTTATAAAAGGAATAGCCGGTGCGGACATCTTAGCATAATATGGTTGTAACTCTTAAATAAGTGTCGCAAAGAGAAAACCTGTAATTCTTATTAGACGAATAATTACAAGTTTTCCCTTTGCGACACTCATTTACTAAGAATCAAACTTTTTTAATACTGTATGATCGTGTAACTGACGACAATACGTATGTAACAAGGTAAGTTAATCTCTGGCTACTATACTTGTTTAGAGGTATTCACTTCATCTGCAGTGGCGGTCAACCGTTTTCATTACGGAAATAGAAAAAAAATAAGACTATACAAGGTTAACCAAGTGTTTTTCATAACTCAGCCGGTTCAGTTTTAATAATAAAATTTTTGACCAGGTAATGGCACTAGATAAAAAATTTTTTCCCAGGTTACGAAAGTACTTAACGGTTCGTCCAAGGTTGGCAATGGACTATAATGGGGCTTTGAAAAAATTCAACGGGACATTGCCCATTGGGTCAACGGATATAGTTCATGAATATTTAATAACTGCTAAGCCCTGCCGGATCGGCAGTTTATCGACACATGGTGCAGTTAAATTAATTTCTATCATATTATTATGTTACACGACAGAAATAATTCTGTTTCCTCTTTTTGTAATCTAATTGGCCAATTTTGCAATCGTGTGAACTGGGTCACTTGATTCGTCTTGTCAGACCTCCACCATAAATACAATTTTCTTGGTGTTCTCTAAATGCAAGCTGTCTAAAGTGGTCCTTATGAGTTGTGTTTAGGGAGGTTTGACTGTATTATTGTCCGAAGGATTCACATCCTCAATTACATGCAATATCCTTAGCTAATGTTGTTATCAAAATGCTGGTGGCAATGGTCTTATCCTCCCTTGAAACTATTTATTTTCTATTTAGTTGGTCTGAACCTATTTTCACATACTGTACTGCGTATAATATTAATAGTTTTTATTTACTGCGACTAGATCTTCAAAGCGTTCGCTTGTCGAGAATTTTATCTACTGCAATTCAATATTTAAATACATTCATTCGGCAGTAAATCCAATGGACTTGTAAAGCAGGCAGATTTCAGTGGTTTGTTGCAGTAGAAAACCGGTGGCTCAATTCAGTTGTATTCAAACCCAGAAGCAGCACTATGAAAAAAGATAATTAATGAACTATGTACTGTACCAAATCGTTATATAACGTGATAAAGGAAATTTTTGATGTGTATGCAGTTATTGCCGATAAAAATAGAGGAATGGAAATTTAACATTATAGTGGCCTAATATCTCGCAGGGTTAATAAAAGTTGCTATGAATAACTTGCGGATTTCGATGCGGCATTAAATCTTTATGTAGCATTAGGTCTAAAAAGAGATAACACAAACTTGTTTTTCGTAGATCTTAAATCTAATAACTGCATAGTTTTTTTGTAGTTCTAATACTCTTGTTTATAATTCGTGATTGGGTAGTCTTAAGTCTGTTAACGGTAACTTTATTAGATTCTTTAACATTGGAAAAATATAAAAACATATTCATTTAACTAATCTAAGTAATTTCTGATCTATATTCAAGCTAGTAGATATCTACTCGTCCTAGTTCAAGCAGCTTTAACCAAGTTTTGATAATTACACTTTGCTCTTAAATGAATCATCCAGGGCGACCACCAAAAACGCTGTGACGTTGATCGTCGCAGCTGCAGCATATCATATCATTTTTGACCCCGCATTCGCGTCCATCGTCGCTGTTTGAAGTACCATCCATTTCACTCTTCCCTAACTGTCATCTAGAGTTTTTTCTAACTTCTTACACGTTAAATTATTTGAACTTATATCTATTTGCTCGATTAATCTGTTCTAATAAATGATTATTGAAAAATTACTAGTTTTCACTTTTTTTTTTTTTTTTGCGTAGACATAGTATTAGCCCAAGATTTGTTGTTTAAAACATAGGTATAATGTAAAAATAAATGTATTTGAATTCAACGTGTCCACTTTAAAAATTGACCGGGCAAGTTTTGATAATTTTAATCGATTATTTCAAAATTAACTAACTTTTATTTAATTTCAAAATATATATTCGCAACGCGACTATTCGTTCTTTATCATTGACCTGTTCATAGTTCTCAAAGTACTAACATAAAAGCTTGTTCTTTTTCTGCTAAGATCTTTTATATATACGAGTAATTTACCATCCCCCATTATTAGCTAAAATATGTCAGCGCCTCATTTATATTCTCAACATGAGAATTTTATCGGTTCATTCAGCTTAGGGTGTCTAGTCTTACGCTTTTTCATTGTTTGAACAATGAAAAATCCATACAAGTTTGGATACTCTAATGTGGCTCTATTTATTTATTGTCGCGGATGATCGTGAAATCGGATGATGGTGAAATTTGGGGGTCTTAATTTGAAAATATAAGCCCTACTAAAATCCACCTATACTCTTTTATTAATAACACTAACCCTAAATCCTAACTTAACTATAAAAAAAAAACTAACAAAAAAGGCCCTAAAAATTTTTAAAAATTGTACATAAAATAGATCCAAATTTCACCATCATCTGATTTCATGATCATCCATGACATTTATTAAAACAAATCGGGATCAAGCAAATAATGTTCTTATTTTATATTACAGTTATTAAATGTATTGTTATTTGCTGTGAATAAAATGTATTGTTATTTGCTGTGAATAAAATATATTGTTATTTCCTGTGAATAAAATGTATTGTTATTCTTTATTAAGTAAAATTTTACATTTACATAATTTAAACTTTTATTAAAATAATAAACTCTGATAATTTAATATTACAGTTTGATTGCATTAGAACAAATCATATTGAATTGAAAAATCTTATTAGTCTTATTGTTTTTATTATTTTTTTCTATTAATAAAAAGAATCATTTTTTCTTATTTAGAGATATATTTTATTATAACAGATTTGACTACAATAAGCTTATCTTTTGAAATCATGATTTGCCAATCTTATTAAGAGAAATACTTTGTGTTGTTCATGATCTAATTAAAAAAAGAAAATACAATCACACCTCCCTAAGTGCACCCCCTTGGGACTATAGTAAAAAAAAGCAAAATAAACACTTAGAAAGAGTATGTACTTAGGGAGATTAAAATTTATAATTATTATATTAATTGGGACCAAGAAGGAGTATACACTTAGAGAGGTTTTTCATATACTGTATACTTAGGAAGGTCTGACTATAATAATAATAATAATAATAAATAATAATAAATAATACCAATTCATAGCAACTTAGTATAAATCTTTTCCTATTAAAATCAAATTAATATATTAGTCTCAAAATAAATCAAATAATCATATATTAAAATGTAATAAATATAGCATGCTTAAAATATATTCCAATATATATATCAAATATACATAATAATTGCATTATATGCTCCATTATTTGAATAGAAAAATTTATTAAACAGTACCCTATTTTCTAACTTACTAATTCTACTATTTAGCCCTAACTTATCAGCTCTCCATTCAATCCTAACTTATTAATTTTACTGTTTGTCCTTAACTTATCAATTTCAATGTTTGAAATTGCAAACAATTAT